CAATAGGAGTGTCTATTTCCTTTGATTCGTCCATTTTAAACTTCTTAATCAATTCTTTTGCATATTTCTGCTGATGAATCATGGTTCCATTTGAGTTTTGTTTGATCTGTAAGACTAAGAAGAAGTTAAGCTCACCCATCATACTCATTTCAAATTCACCCCCCATTAATTTAGCAAATTCCTTACTTAGTTTTTCAGTGGTTGCCCCGAAAATTATGTCATCAACATATATTTGTAACACTAGTAGATCCTTACCTTTTTCCCTCAAGAATAGAGTACTATCAATCTTACCTCTCTTATAGCTATGTTCAAGAAGGAATTTCGATAGTCGTTCATACCATGCTTTAGGGCTCTGCTTGAGTCCATAAAGTGCCTTGTCTAGTTTATATACATGATCTGGACACTCCTTGTTTTCAAACCCTGGAGGTTGTTTAACAAATACTTCTTCCTTCAATTAGCCATTTAGGAAAGCACTCTTCACGTCCATCTGGTGAAGAGTAATTCCATGTGTGCTGCAAAAGCTATGAGGAGTCTTATTGCTTCCAATCTTGCAACTGGAGCAAAGGTCTCATCATAGTCTATGCCCTCCTCTAGACTATAACCTTGAACCACCAACCTTGCCTTGTTCCTTGTAACAGTTCCATCTTCATCAAGTTTGTTTCTGAAGACCCATTTAGTGCCAATCACTGATCTGTCCTTGGGTCTTGTAACCAGATGCCAAACCTGACTCCTTTCAAACTGATTGAGTTCATCTTGCATTGCATTTACCCAGTTTGCATCCTGCAAAGCCTCAGCAACATTTTTAGGTTCAATAAGAGATAAGAAAGCATCAAAAACACACATATTATTTAATTAAGATCCAGTTTTAATTTCAGAGGTTAGATAAGTAATTATGTTCTCAATGGGATGAGAACTTTGATACTTGTAAGGTTTCACAACCAACTGGTTTCTGTTTGATGTTTCTCCCATGTTCTGTTGTTGGGGAACAGGCTCATGGACAGGTTCCATTTGGGAATTAGATTCAGTTCTTCTTTGTTCAGTTTCCCCTGTCAGGTTGCCCTGGATGGAAGAACCTGTTCCATCACCCGTTCCTTCTTCTGGTGCAGCTTCACTTAATTCTTTTACCAGCCCAATAGCTTCATCTTCATGTTCCTGTCTCTCAGAAAGAATGTTAGTTTCATCAAAGACTACATGTACACTTTCTTCCACACACATAGTTCTTTTGTTGTACACTTTATAAGCTTTGCTATGTGAAGAATATCCCAAGAATACTCCCTCATCACTTCTGGGATCAAACTTACCTAGGGAGTCCTTTCCATTATTGTGCACAAAGCACTTGCATCCAAATGCCCTAAGATGGGATATATTTGGTTTTCTCCCTTTAAGTATCTCATAGGGAGTCTTCTCTACAAGAGGTCTAGTCGCACCTATTAATGATGTAACATGCATTGTTTACTGCTTCTGCCTAGAAGCTATGGGGCAGTTTACTAGAAAGAAGCATAGTCCTAGCCATATCTTCAAGAGTCTTATTCTTTCTTTCAACTACTCCATTTTGTTAAGGAGTCCTAGGGGTAGAAAAATTATGATCTATACCATGCTCATCACACAATTCAGCAAACTTAGCATTTTCAAATTCAGTTCCATAATCAGACCTAATTGATGCAAGTTGATTACCTAGTTGTTTCTGAGTTTTTCTAACAAAGGCGATGAACATGTCAAATGCTTCATCCTTAGATGTTAAAAATAATGTCCAAGTAACCCTAGAGTAATCATCAACAAGCACCATCACATATTTCTTACCCCCTTTGCTTAATGTGCTCATTGGACCACAGAGATCCATATGAAGCAGTTCCATCGACATGGTCGTGCTTACCACTTTCTTGATTTTGAAAGAGGATCTTACATGCTTCCCCCTTGCACAAGTCTCACAAACTTTCTCTTCCTTACACTTGATGCTAGGCAACCCTATCACTAGGTCCTTGGAGACTAATTTGTTGAGTTGACTTAGACTTGCATGTCCAAGTCTTCTGTGCCACATGAGGGGATCATTGTCCAACACACTTAAGCAAGTGAGTTTATTTTCTGAAAGAGTGGACAGATCTACAATGTATATATTGTTTACTCTTTTTCCCTGCAAAACAATCTTGTCAGTGGTAAGATTATTCACAAAACATTTGGTAGAGGTGAATGCTACCAAGTTACATCTGTCACACATTTGTGATACACTGATTAGGCTATATTTCAAGCCATTTATCAAGTGGACATTCTCAAAGGAATGTGAGTCTGTCTTACCTACCTTTCCGACCCCAATAATCTCGCCTTTCTTACCATTTCCAAAGGAGACATTACCTCCTTTGAGGTCTTCAAGTGAAAGGAACTGGTTCTTGCTACCTGTCATATGCTTTGAGCAGCCACTATCCATGTACCATATTTGGATGTTCCCTTTCACTTTGACCTCTTGTTCATCATCTGATTCTCCTATGGCCATAAGTGATTGTTCATCTCCATATTCATCTTCTGAATCCTCATCTGAGATTTCTCCCCAGGCAACAACCATAGCCTTCGTTGTTCCTTTGTTCTTCTTGGGATGAACCTGTTCCTTCTTCCTATTCCTTCGTTCAGCCCTTTCCTTCTTCCATTCAATTTCCCATTGAGGATAATTTTTGATCATGTGGTCAGTCTTACCACATTTGTAGCAGCCCCCGTTGGTATGTTTTTCAGGGACCATTGGTTTGTTGTAAGTTGCACCCTTGGAAGAACCCTTTCCTCTTATTAGATATTTCTTGAAGTCCCTCGTGATCATAGCCATTTCATCTTCCTCTAGATCTGCACCTTCAACGATTCTGAGAGCCGGGCTTCTTTCTTTCTTGGGAGCATCCATCTTCATGGTCTGCCTTCTTAGTTCATAGGCAGTGAGATTTCCAATTAACTCGTCTAACTTGAGAGTGACAATGTTCTTCGATTCTTGAATACCAGTGATTTTGCTTTCTCAAGTAGCAGGTAAAACCCTTGTCAGAATTTTCTCAACCTTGTCTCTTCAAGGATAATCCTTCCAAGAGACTTAAGTTCATTTGTTAGTGTTGTGAAATTTGCATACATCTCTTGGATGGTTTCTCCTTCCTTCATGGTGAAGTTCTCATGTTAAGAATACAATAGTGTTCCTCTTGACCTCTTCACTTGTGGAGTTCCTTCATGAGCCACTTGTAAAGTGTCCCAAATTTCCTTAGCAGTAGTGCAACTTTGAATTCTGCTCTACTCGTCTTGACAAAGTCCACACACTGGCCATTTCTTGGCCTTAGCATTCTTTTTCCACTTCTTCAAGTCCTCAGCAGTGCAGTCAGCTCTAGTCTTTGGCACATCCATTCCTTCAGCACTCTTCTTTATAGTGGCCAGGGGACCATCAGTAACAATGTCCCAGAGTTCATAGTCCTCTCCTATGATGTGATCTCTCATCCTATTTTTCCACCAGGAATAGTACTGGCCATTGAAGAGTGGAGGCCTAACAGTGGATTGTCCTTCCTAGTTTCCAAGTGGTGCGCTCATCTTGATCTATTCCTAAGGTGTTAACCTCTTCAAGGATAACCCGCTCTGATACCAATTGATGTTTTATACTTCAATACCACACAAGGGGGGAGCGGTGATTTGTGTGGTACCCAATTTTTCGCTTAACTTGATTATAGAAGGACCTGGTTCTTCTATGTGTTCCAACTACTACTGTTACAGAATAATAAGTACAAAATTAAAGAACACAAAGATTTTACGTGGAAAATACCTGGCTCAAAAGGTGAAAAAAACCACGACCTACTTTCCAGTAGGATTTTCCCAAACTCTCCACTAAAATCACTGAGCCAAAAATTGCATCTACAAAAACTCTTTTGTAAACCTAGGATTAACTCTAATCCCGTTGTGGCACACAACCTCAACTGTTGCGACAACTTCAAGTTAACTCTAACTTGAAAACTCCGAGTACCTAATACAATTGCTTCTAGATAAGCTGAAAGGTACAACATGAAATTGGTTCAAGTAGATTCAGGTTTGCAGGCTTGAATCACACACAAATTGCTTGCAAAATTGCCTTGCTATTTTGCTCTCAATTTACGTTTAACTTCTGCTTATGTGCGTTACCTATAAAAAAGAACAACATTGATATTTATGGAGTTAGTAAATAGAGATTGACTAGAATAATGATGCTACTCTTCCTTAGTGGAAGAGTTCTAGTTGATCTCAATCTCTAACTCTGTCCATCTCGTAAGCCGTGTTCTTTTTGAGTAAGGAGTCTTTCTCCTTATCTAATATGCAACCTTTTCGATCAGGATCAGGAGATATCACTTCTGGTAAGTGAGGTTTATCTCCTTCACGTGCATCTCACATGCTTGAGTTGATCATATCTGCTTCACTGGGATGGACATGGTCCATGTATGATATTCTTTGTCAGTCTTCAAAACTCACCTTTACTTGGGCCAACATGCTGCCATGTTCTTATGCTTTCTCTGGTTTCTACTGTATTGAAGAGAAACCCTAACCCTAAGCCTCTAGGTTTTAAGGGCAGAGAGGGAGAACATGCAATTAGATTAGAGAAATGTTTAGTGGTTTTTAGAATTAGATGGGAGAGAGAAAAATAATACAAAGTTTATTTTATGGCTTAGGGGTAGGAGATGACTATAAATAGATATTTGGCTATAAAAAATCAAAAGGTAGCTATGGAATATAATTTTTTAAAAAGATATTTATTTAAAATAAATAAGGTATCAATGCTATATAGGAGGTAACTAAATCCATTCAATTATAATATCGAAGGCTCCATCATCAATAAGGTTAAAAATACATCCCATAATTTATGTCTTCCGTTCACTCATCAATGCTGTGAATAAATTTTACAATATGCTAGTATTGTAAAAAAAAATTTGTTATTTATGGAATAAATTAAAATTAATGTTCTTTTTTTAAATACTTTTTGGAAAGGGATTAGGCGTGTAAATTCTCAACTCCGAGCAACCCCACCCGAGTAGCTGCCCCGAAAAAAAAAAAAATATCTCAAATAACCAGTAAAACCCCAGTCGAAAATCAAAGTCTCAAATTCTCAAAACCCTACACCGGAGCTACGTTGACGGTAATGGCTGGTTACTCTCCGCCGGCGAAATCATAGCTTGGTAATATGCTCTTGCTTTTCCCTTTTCGCAGCATTGAATATTCGTGTCATTTGTTTTTTTAAAATCTTCTTCATGCAGTTATCTCGTTTTTGAGGTTTGTATAACGAAATTGTTCATACATTGGTTCGATTTTTCTTTTTGTTTTAGGTGGAGTTTTGAAATTAATCGAAAGTTGAAGAAGGCATTGCCTATTGAAGATAGTGCGTTTTACAAGTCACAAAAATGGTACTTGTTACTCATGTTTCAGTTTATTGATACTTTTTTTTTTTTCAATTGACAATATTGTTTTTGCATAATTTCTGGTGGTTAAGATTTTAATTCATGGAATTCTGACCATTTCTTGATTTGTGCATGCCCATGTTAATCTTCTCTGTATTTTACCACTTTTAACTTTTCCCGCATTTTAAAATACTCCCTTTGTTTCATTTGTGTGCCAGAGTTTGACTTTGCACCGAGTTTAAAGAAGAAAAAAAAAAGACGTTTGAAACTTGTGGTCTTAAAAGCTTAAAGGGTTATTTGTGTAGCTATGAAAGCTACTCATTAAGGGTAAAGTGAATAGTTTAAAGTTAAATTATTTTTAAATATAGAAATGTGCGATTCTTTTGGGAATAGACTATAAGGAAACAATTACACCTCCCAAACAAGTTGTGGTCTGCTATATGACTCACTGGACATGTTCCATTGTTTATGAGTATTCATCGTGATTTGACCAGTTTTATGCTAGCTGCTAGACTACCATAACCCTCCTCCTTTATTTGGAATTGGGACCACTGATGGAGTTTAAAGTGCTTAAATAAATCAAAGTCACAAAATATCTCCACCAAAATCTTCCCTTTACTATGAAGATTAATCATGATTTGGCTAGTTCTATGCTGGCCGCTAGACTGCCACAACCTTCTTCCTTTATTTGGGCTTGGGTCCGACAATTTGAGCAAGCTCACCGGTGGAGTTTAAAATCCTTAATTAAATCAAATTCAGAAAAAAAAATATTTGTTCACCGAACTAATTTTCGAAGTACTATTTCAGCATTTTCGTTCACTACTTGTATAATAAATACTAGTGTCTTAAACTCCATATGCAATCCTATTTTGGTACTCTGAGACAATTCAACTTATCCACAATAACTTTCCCCAAGCATGTACTATTGCACACATACACTTAAGTAAAAGAACACATACTTAGCATATGGCAAGTGTTAAGTTGTGGTTTCTGGGATTTTCAGATTGAAGTATGTGATGAATTTTGTGTCTGTCAAATATTAGAATTTGAGATGCATGGTTTAAGAGTTTGATGGTATAGTTCTGTGTAATACAGTCAGATATCAGAAAATGGTTCATGAAGCAGCATGACAAAGGTACGGGTAATGGGAGTATGTCCAAGAATAGTGCTCCAGAAAAGCCTTCAGCAGAAAAGCCTTCTCCAGGAAACCTGGTAAGTATTTTGTAGCTAGATCATTCTTCCAATTTCACTTGCTTTCTCGTTGACCTCTCGTATGGTTTAAGTGTTTGTTAATGTAGTTACCTATTTCTTGTTTCTTGGAACCTGTTCCGATTGCCTGGAATGGTGGGGCTGGCTTGTTGTTTCTTTTTGAGATTTCCCGAGAGTAATTTCTTTTCTATCGATTGCCTTGACCATGGACTTCTACTTCAATTATTTTATGAGCAACTGAAAGAAAGAATGGNACTAGTACATAGAGCCATAGACTCTAATATTCTTAATAAAGTACTCAAAAATACAAAACTAAAAATGTTTGTTGAAAAAAGTTTTATCCAAAACTAGCAAATATCGACCCAAATAGAAAAAATTGTACATAAAAGAATATTTGATCATTAGAAATGTCTTGTTACTTGTTTGGAGTTAATTGATGAACTTAGAGAATAAAGGAAAGTAAAATTTTAGATTTTTTATATTTATGTTATAATTAAGAATATGTGTTTTATGTAATATAATATATATTTCGGTATTTTATTTTAAAATACCAAATACCATACCTAATACCAATTTCTTTTAAAAACTTAAACCAAATACCATACCAAATACCAAAATAGCGTATACCAAATACCAAAATTTTCGGTTTCGGTACGGTAATTCGGTATTTACCAAATTATGCACAACCCTAGTTCATACACAAGTGCACCGAACTCCAGTATATTATGCTGGACCGGTCTCTATTGCAGCAAAACGGTGGCTATTTTTCATTGACTTGGTAAACGCTAGCTATTTTTGATTGACCAGTCCAAAAACTGGCTATACCGTGAAATTTTGGCTTTTTATTTGCGGTCTCCGATGTAATTAGAAAAAAAATTGAAAAACTCCTTAATCTTGATTTTAGGAATGTGATATTATTGAATTTTATTTTCATTTGAAACCACATATGTAATGTAATACGTTATATACCTAACATGCACGTTTTATTACCAAATTTCAAATAATAATTTAACTGATTTAACGGGGGTGTCTATAGTGTCTATCTCCAAAGTCCAGGACTCCAGGGGGCAAACTAAAACCCCGAATTTTTCCGGTGCAGGGGTGAAATGCATTTTTAGGTGACGGGTAACCGAATAATTTATTAAAAATTCTTACCTCGCATTAGGGGGGTGTTTTAAAAAAAGTCGAAAAATCAAACTAAACCGATCAAAAAAATCATACTTTTTGGTTTGGTTTGGTTTGGTTTGATTTTTGTTTTGAATTTTAAAAACCGCTCAAGTTGGTTTGGTTTTGGTTTTAATCAAAATAACCTAAAAATACGAATCAAGCCAACTATAGAAGTTGCTATTTAAAGTTTATTATTACACACACAGACATATATATATGCATATTTTTGTACAAAGTTATAAAATTTTATGGTACATGTTAATCGTTTACACTTTTAGTCTAGTCTTTTGATATTATAATAATTTAGTTCTTTGTATTTACAATCTAGTTTGATTGGTAGTTTTCTTTTGCTAAGTATAAGAATCAATTTAAAGTTAAAAGTAACCTATTTTTAATTGAGTCCTTAAATTATTCGTCACTACTTGATTTAGTTACCATAAATATATTTTGGTAAATAATAAATTTCTCAAAGAGCAATTCGTGTGCTACTATTATATTGAAAATATAGTCGCTAGAATATATGTTTGGTAGTGTATTCCTTATATTTTAGAAAAATCGATAAATAACCCAGATATAAACCAAAAAACTAACTTAATTTGTTTGATTTCCTTTTAGTAAAAAATACGCATTAAAATAAATCGAGGTGTGTCATTCACTAAACTAAACATAAGCTGCTATTNTCTGGCAGGGGATCTGCACGGAAGTCTGTGATCAGTGATGAAAGTGACGATGATCTTAAGGATACAAAATCTGATCCCAAACCTACTGGAAGAGGGCGTGGTGGACGAGCAGCTCAGGCTGGTGGGAAAGGCATCCCTCTTGATGAAAGTGATGATGATGCCTCAGCTGATAAGGACACCAAATCTGGTGGACGAGGGCGTGGTGGTAAAGGACCATCTGCAGTACCAAGTGGTGGACGAGGCAGAGGTGGTGGAGGACGGGGCGGTTTCATGAATTTTGGTGAAAGAAAAGACCCTCCTCACAAGGGGGAAAAGGTAGAAGCCTTGCTGAAGCTATTTTCTTTTACAAGTAAGAAGTTGTCCGAGTTAATAAAATTGTGGTCTTTCCACTTTGCAGGAAGTTCCTGAAGGTGCCCCAAACTGTTTAGCTGGTTTGACTTTTGTAATTAGTGGAACTCTGGACAGGTACCTCATTGAGTCTGTTTGTATATTTTTGAAGAGATGTTATGGGGATAAACCCAGGGATGTATTTGCATAAATATCTTTATTGCTTATAGCATGTAAGACTCACTGCAACTGATGCACTATGTAGAAGGCCAAGTCTTTTCGTCTATGTGTTACCTTTTTTAACTTCTCTCAGTATTGGATATGTAAATGACATAAAGCTAGACATTCATTCGGTTGTCATGCTTTCAGTTTAGAAAGAGAAGAAGCTGAGGATTTGATTAAACGCCATGGTGGTCGTGTTACAGGATCTGTTAGCAAGAAAACGGTATTGTCTGTGCTTATAAATTTTTGCTAAACTTAATTGTTTTACGGTGTTTTTCACGCTGTTCTGTTGCAGAATTATCTTTTATGCGATGAAGACATTGAGGGACGGAAATCCTCTAAAGCCAAGGAACTCGGGTTTGTTTCCAATGTCAATGCATATTCTCATTTTCCTTTTTCATTTGGTTCCTGAACTAATATTGGTATCCTATACTTTTGCAACTAGAACTGCATTTCTCACTGAGGATGGTTTGTTCGATATGATCCGGTCATCAAAGAAATCAAAATCAGCTACACAGCCCGAGTCAAAGAAATCAGTGGACACTGTTGTTTCTCCTGCAAAGAGAAATTCACAAAATACAAGTAATTCTTACACTGGGTTCATTGTTGTTGTTGTTGTTGTATTTTCTTTCCCTTTTCATTCTCAGTGACTTGTTTATTTCTGGTGATGTACTCATTCTTAGATGAAAGATGAATGGGTTTATGATATTTTTAAACAGTGCCTCTACAGTTCTGTAGGCACTTCAAAAAGAAGAGAAATAGGAGAATGTTGGGTATATATTTTGGACGGAACTCTTGAAAACAAGAATTACTTGGGAATGCCAAACAGTCTGAATGGCTTACAGAAAGAAATAATAGCATAATTTTTTTTTGATCCAAAACAAGAAAACAGTGTCAGCAATTCCCATTGCCATATAAATGACTGGGACCATAAAAAACCATCATTTACATTCTAATTTTGACCGTGCAAGTTAAGACTCTTAGAATTGATTCAATAAGAAAAGACAATGCTAGAAGCTTTTAGATGACAATTTTTTTTGTGATAAGTCAAGGCTTGCAGGGAAAAAGTGAAAGCTTGTTTTAAGTATTAACCCTTCAAAAGTGGCACGGAGATGTGCTGTCAGATGTACAAAGGTACAAAAAGTATAATGTCACTAACTGATAAAAAAAAAGGTATAATGTTCCTACGACTACCTATCTTTTTTTGGGGTTGATCAATAGGTATATGTTATTAACATAGCCCCAGGGGTGCAAGGTTTCGATGTTAGAAGAACACTGGACTAACTCCATTTGGAAATCCACCTTTGCATCCTAATGATTCAGTTTTCTATTTGGTCAGTAAGTTGGCAAGGTTAATTAATGATAATAGTCTGCCAGCACTAAGATGGTGCCTGGTGTATACAAAAGTGGACTCTCCCTTTTACGAAAAAACAAAAGAAAGGACCTCCTCTATAAAGTTACTCCTTAAAGAGCTAATGAAACCTATCATTTTATGCACATCATATACATCCTGTGGCCTACACTTTGCGCGGACTCTTCAATTTTGGTGCCGTTCCCGTCCCGATACGAGACGGGGACGGGAGCGGGATACGTCCCGGATTCGGTTAACTGACTCCGGACACTTTGACCGGAGTCCATCGACAAATTTGGGAGAAAAATTGAGATTTTGATTTCTCAAAATCAAAAATAAAACAGATTTAGGAGAATGAAAGAATAATGTCCATCTTGGAGAATGAAAGATTGAATTCTACAATATTCATGTAAGTTTTTCACAGAATATCTCTCAAAATTTACAATATTTTTTATAGCTCTATTTTTATTAGCCGAATCCCCGCACCGTATCCATATCCGGATCCGCATCCCCGAATCTTAAAATTTAGATTTTGCCGAATCTGATACTCGGATCCGTCCCCGTATCAAATACCAGCACCCGAGTCCGAGCAACTTAGGCCTACATCATAAAGCCAGTAACATAAACATCTGTACTTTAAATTGTATATTGAACTTGCTTTGCACACAAAGCACCTAGCATTCCTTTCATTGCCTTCCCAACGTGACAGCAAGTCTTTCAGTCTTTGGCATCACCCATTTAAGCCCAAAATAGGCCCAGAAGCAGATCCCAAAGTTGTTTAGTGTTACAGACTCATTGCGGGGCCCTTGAGTTGAGGAAAATAACAACGTCAAAGAGGATAAGTAGATAGGAATACAGATGCATCTGACAGATATTTGTTGGGCATTTAAATAGTCAGTAGTTTAATTTTACTAGAATTCTTAATTTAGTAGATTTCTTATATCCGTAGACTCCTAGTTCTGCTTAATAGCTTTGTAATAAGACTCTCTATTTAAAGAGACAGAAGGAATAAGAAAGGGCAGGCAAGATTTATATTAAAAACAAGAGATCTGGGACTCTCTCTATCGAGTCCTAAGGTTATAGGCTCCCTTTAACGAGCTTATTTATTGTTATCAAAATAGGTCGCTCACGGAATAGAAACAAGGGAAAAGATCTGTTCAACACAGACTTTCCAGTGAATCGCCCTGTGACAAGATCCATTCTGCGTGACCATAACAACTTGGTATCAGAGCCAAACACTATGGGCGATCCAAGCAAACGTGAAGAGTTACAGGCTCTCCTTCAAGAGGCGCAGGCTGCCAACGAAGCACCGAATAACAGAAGCAGTGGCACAATCTGAATCAAGGATGGTTAATCAACTGCAACAATTATCGTTACAATTGCAGGAGTTCATTGTTGGGTTTAACAAAAATCAAGGAAAGGATTCTGATGTTGGAGCAAGCAGCAATGTAGGTAACCAACCCTATAGACCAAAGAATCGGCCTAATCAGCTGACAGGAAATAGTGTAGTACCAAGGTACGCAAAGCTGGATTTTCCTACTTTTGACGGATCAGAAGACCCATTGATTTGGCTACACCGTTGTGAGAAATTCTTCTCCAATCAGAGAACGAATGAAGCAGATAAGGTGGGATTGGCAGCATTCCATCTTCTAGGTGAGGCACGATTATGGTATCATCAAGTGGAACAAGAGTATCCCTATGTTGATTGGTTGGAATTCAAAGAATATTGTGCTCTCAGGTTTGGGCCTCGACTGGGCAGTAATCCACTAGGTGATCTGGTTAACCTTAAGCAAACAGGCTCAATTGAAGAATATCAACGCCAATTTCAAGAACGGTTAGCCAGGGCCAGTAAGTGTGTTCGCGTTGACCAGCAAGTTAGTCTTTTCACTGCCGGGCTGATCGATTCCATTCGGCTTGATGTTGAAATGCGTAGTCCACCAGATTTGGTTCATGCCATGAATATAGCTCGAGCTTTTGAAAAGAAATAGAAGGTAGTGCGGGCGACATCTTCTCGAAGGGAGACTTGGCAAGGGACTAAAGGCTATTTCAGTACTACTACAAGTTCGACAATTCCAGCTCCAAAGGGCAGCAATGCACCGGGTGGTATTACTGAACCAAAGTTGGGAAGTTCATCTGCTCCTTTCATAAAGAAGTTGTCACGGGCTGAAATGGCAGAGAGAAGGGCAAAAGGATTGTGTTATAATTGTGATGAATTGTATTCGATTGGGCATCAATGTAAGAAGCTATTTTGGTTGGAACTTGCTGATCTGGATGATGAAGAACCTGACCATAATGATGCACAAGAACCTGAAATTTCCTTATATGCCATCACGGGACAGAAGAGCGCAAGAACAATGCAGTTACTAGCAATCATGAAGGGTCAACCATTGTTGAGCCTGGTTGACTCGGGCAGCACACACAATTTCATAAGTTACACAGCAGCGCAACACTTGGGGATGCAAGTACAGCCTGGGACAAGTGCCAAGGTATCAGTGGCTAATGGAGAAAAAGTTTACAGCAAAGGAACTTGCGCATCAGTATCCTTCTATATTGATAACCAAAACTTTGAAGCTGACTTCTTTGTTATTCCGTTAGATGGCTTTGACATTGTTCTAGGGGTGATTTGGTTACAAACATTGGGCCCCATTCTTTGGGACTTCGTTACACTTGAAATGAGTTTTACTTCAAATGGGAAACAAGTCGTCTTTCAAGGGCAGCAAACCTGTTCAAAATTGCAGCTTCAATTATTGCATGATTTAGATGAGCACCACAGCAAACTGGAGCAGGTCTTGGCCGAATTTGCCGACTTATTTCAAGAGCCTACTGGGCTGCCTCCTATGCGAAATTGTGATCATCGCATTTGCTTATTACCTGGTTCCAAACCAGTGGTAGTTCGACCATACCGATATCCTCATTTGCAGAAAGATGAGATAGAAAAACAATGCGCAGATATGTTAAGACAAGGAATCATTCGGCCTAGTAGATCACCCTTCTCATCTCCAGTTTTATTGGTTCGTAAGCATGATGGAACTTGGCGTTTTTGTGTTGATTATCGTGAGCTCAATGCCAAGACAGTGAAGGATAAATTTCCAATTCCAGTGGTGGATGAATTATTAGACGAATTGTACGGGTCCAGATACTTCACGAAGCTAGATTTGAAGTCGGGCTATCATCAGGTCCGCATGGATACCCTAGACATTGAGAAGACAGCTTTTCGCACGCATCATGGCCACTTTGAATTTTTGGTTATGCCGTTTGGATTGTCAAACGCTCCATCAACATTTCAAGCACTAATGAATGAGGTATTTAAACCACACTTGCGTCAGTTTGTGTTGGTTTTCTTTGATGACATTTTAATATATAGCAAGACATGGGATGATCATCTCACTCATATTGGCATCGTTTTTGAGTTATTGCGTGCTCATAACCTTTATGTCAAGAGATCCAAATGTTCTTTTGGAGAGACCCAAGTAGCATATCTTGGCCATGTGGTGTCTGAAACAGGCGTGGCAGCAAACATAAACAAGGTTCAGGCTATCATTGATTGGCCTCAACCACAGTCCACCACTACCTTGCGCGGATTCTTGGGCTTAGTGGGTTATTACCGTAAATTTATAAGAAATTACAGTCAGTTAGCATCCCCTTTAACTAACATGCTTAAAAGAAATTCGTTCCAGTGGGATGAAACAGCTTTGGCTTCTTTTGACACTCTTAAAAAAGCACTTGCAACTGCTCCTGTTTTACAATTACCAAATTTTAATGATCCATTTATAATTGAATGTGATGCCTCGGGAGGTGGTATTAGAGCGGTGTTGCAACAGAATGGCCATCCTATTGCTTTTTTCAGTCGACAATTGGCAGCTCGACACTTTAAATTGGCTGCATATGAGCGAGAATTAATTGGCTTGGCTAAAGCAATGCAACATTGGCGTCCTTATCTATGGGGCAAGTCTTTGTTGATTCGCACAAACCACTATAGCCTTAAATATTTGTTGGAACAACGACTTACCACTTCACCTTAACAACATTGGATCAGCAAGCTTATGGGGTTTGATTTTTGTGTGGAGTATAAGGCATGCCACTTGAATAAGGCTGCTGATGCCTTGTCACGTCGTCCTGGTAAGGAGGAATTATTTTATGGCATCAGCCAACCACGTGTACTACTGCTTGATGCGATTAGAGAAGAGATATGCAATGACGCTTCCTTGCAAGAATTAGTCCAACAAGTGCTTCGTCAAGAACTTGATGCTTCCTGGTCATTCAAAGACGGGCTACTATTTTATAAAGGTCGTATCTACTTGCTGCCTTCTTCCCAATTGATTGCTACTATTATGTCAGGATATCATGATAATGCCCATGAAGGGGTACAGAAAACATTGCAGCGCATACGACAAGATTTCTACTGGAAAGGTATGAAGTCGATTATTGGGAATTATGTCGCTGCTTGTCTAGTTTGTCAACGCAACAAGGCTGAACATCTAAGCCCTGCAGGTTTACTACAGCCACTTGCACTTCCTGAGCAGGTATGGGCTGATATCTCAATGGACTTTATTGATGGCTTACCAAAGGCTTGGGGCAAAACAATATTATTTGTGGTAGTCGATCGTTTTTCCAAATATGCACACTTCATACCCATGTCTCACCCTTACAATGCAACCCGTGTTGCCCATGTTTTCTTTGAGCATATTGTTCGCTTGCATGGGATACCCGAATCGATTACTTGTGACAAGGATGTGATTTTTACAAGCACATTTTGGAGAGAATTGTTTCGTCTATGTGGAACAAAGTTGGCATTCTCTTCTGCTTATCACCCTCAGACTGATGGCCAAACTGAAGTTGTGAATCGTACTATTGAAATGTATTTGCGTTGCTTGGTTGGGGATTATCCAAAGAAGTGGGTTGATTGGTTGCCTTGGGCAGAGTATTGCTATAATACTTCCTTTCATACTGCATTGCAAACAACCCCCTTTAAGGTTGTTTATGGCCGAGATCCTCCTCGTCTATTGTCCTATGTGGCTGGTTCTTCACGAGTGGAGGCTATTGACAATGCATTACTGGTTCGTGATTCAGCTCTGCTTGACATTCGCAGCAAGTTGCAACAAGCTCAAGTTAGGATGAAAGAATATTATGACAAAGGTCACCGTGAGGTTGCATATGAGCCAAGTTCACTAGTTTGGCTGCATTTACATCCTTATCGTCGAAAATTTGTTGCGGGTCAACTATGCCATAAGCTTGCACCTCGGTTCTTTGGGCCTTTTCCTGTGTTGCGGCGAATAGGGGAAGTTGCGTATGAGTTACAGCTGCCCAGTGACTGTAAGTTGCATAATGTATTTCATGTATCCCTCCTTAAAGCTTTTAAGGGTGCTGCTCCCACAGTTCCTCCGACGCTGCCACCACTAGCGGATGGTCGTGTTGTTCCTATGCCTTGTTCTGTTCTACGAGCTCATCTAAATCGAGGAACTTGGGAACTCTTAGTGCACTGGTGTGGGTTTGATTTGTCAGATGCTACTTGGGAGGATGCTGAACATTTTCGTAATGCCTATCCGGACTTCGAGCTTGAGGACAAGCTCTTTAAAGAGGAGGGGGTAATGTTACAGACTCATTCGTGGGTAAAGTTTATGCAAGGAGGGGCCCTCGAGTTGAGGAAAATAGCAACGTCAAAGAGGATAAGTAGATAGGAATACAGATGCATCTGACAGATATTTGTTGGGCATTTAAATAGTCAGTAGTTTAATTTTACTAGAATTCTTAATTTAGTAGATTTCTTATATCCGTAGACTCCTAGTTCTGCTTAATAGCTTTGTAATAAGACTCTCTATTTAAAGAGACAGAAGGAATAAGAAAGGGCAGGCAAGATTTATATTAAAAACAAGAGATCTGGGACTCTCTCTATCGAGTCCTAAGGTTATAGGCTCCCTTTAACGAGCTTATTTATTATTATCAAAATAGGTCGCTCACGGAATAGAAACAAGGGAAAAGATCTGTTCAACACAGACTTTCCAGTGAATCGCCCTGTGACAAGATCCATTCTGCGTGACCATAACATTTAGCCATCATAAAAATGGACGAAAATATGATTCCATGTTTCTTCCTCTCTATTGCACAAAGAAGCCATTGCTTTGTCGCTTATACCAAAGAAGTGATGGCGGAGGGGGGGTTATCATTTTCTGGATGAAGCCATGCGCTTCGGAAAAGTGTGGCTTTAAACTTGACACACAAAATGACCCAAATGAGAAGCAGTCGATTCTTTGAATCACAACTTTGAGTATTTGGATTAGCATCAACTTTATTGTATATTGGATACTTGAAATTAGTTATTCTCATTGCAATTTGATTATTATAATACTAAATTCGTATATGTTTGGTATTGTTTCATCTTTAGTAAATTGTGCTCTTCTCTTCAAAGAAGCTTGCGCTTTACTTCTCGCTTTTCACTTCAAGCTCGTGGACCTTGTTGCTTTTTGGCGCTTTTTGCTTTTTAAAGCTCTGGATATCTGCCGCAAAATTAGTTTATTGCAAAGCACCAGAACTAAAAGTATATACATCAATTTCCTTCAAAAAAGAAAAGTATATACATCAATTTAGGCTCCTGTATTGAAGGTAATAGGGACAATTTAGGCTCCTGTATTGAAGGTAATAGGGATATAAGTTGCTGAAAGTTAATAAATAATCCCTCCATCTTATATTGTGGGGGGCTGTTTGACCCACAAAGTTTAAGAAACAAAGGAAGATCGTTGAGACGTAAAAACAAAGGAAGATTGTTGAGACGTAAGCTGAATCTACGCAATGTACCTAAATTACCCGACTATCAAATAATTAAGTGAGAGTTGGTGAGAGATCCATTTGTCTTTTCATATTCCTCTCATAAATATTTGAACTTTATATCAACTGGGTCCCAACAAGTCATGCTATTAAGGGTAAAATGGTGATGATAAGATTTATGAGTTTCCAAATACAGAGATGTGATTTTTCGAGATAAATTAACATGGAAAGTGTGGCACACAAAATCAGATGGAAGAAGCACTAAATAGCTGAGTGGTGTATGTAGAAACAGAAAAGTGGTTGGCATCCTGGACGGGGAGGGGAGCAGCCTGTAAATAGACTAGACAGCTGAGTGATGTTAGCTTACTTCCATGTACAGTAGGAGAAAATGCTTCTGATCTCTCTTGTTTTAGATTGGTGAAAGATGGGGAATATCAAGCCCGATAGACAATGGAACATTGTGTTTCTGGTGCCTCTTATACTGAGGTGATACTTTCACATTCTTGACTTTGAGCCTTCATGGCCTATAATGCGGCAATGTCGTTTTTTAGGTGATGGAACTGGAAGCACTGCCACAAAGATTTTAGCTGCCAAAGAATTGACACCTAGTGCATCTCCTGCCAAGAGGAAAGGCCAAGCTAAAGAGTCTTCACTACCATGGACAGAAAAATACAGGCCCAAAGCTATTGTAGACATAATAGGGAATAAGTCACTGGTATTCTTCTATGTTGCTTTCTTTCTTTAATGGCTACACTTTTGAATTAAAAGATTCACCTGGAGTAACTTTACCTTCTATATGGTACACGATCAGGTAGAACAGATTCAGCGTTGGCTGGAGAGCTGGGATGAGCATTTTCTAAATGCAGCTAGTAAGGGGAAGGGGAAAAAACAGAATGACTCTGGTGCTAAAAAGGCAGTTCTGTTGAGTGGTATGCCGGGTATAGGGAAGACTACATCAGCAAAGGTGGTTAGTCAGCTACTGGGTTTCCAAACCATCGAGGTATTTTCCTTTTAAATGGTGAAAATTCACGGACTGTAATCTAATCATTTTTCACTTACTCTTTCTTTCTGTTGGATGTTGGATTAATATAACAGTACCTTTATTTTTTTTTTAGGTAAATGCTAGTGATAGTCGTGGAAAGGCTGATTCAAAAATTGAGAAAGGAATTGGTGGTAGTACTGCTAATTCCATAAAAGAACTTGTTAGCAATGAATCCCTAGGTGCTAATATTGGCAGGTAAACCTCTGCTCTCTTGAATGTTTGTATCAGAAGTATGATATGCCATAATCCATGTTGATGATTGTAGATCGCACCATCAGAAGACTGTTCTGATTATGGATGAGGTTGATGGCATGTCTGCTGGAGATAGAGGTGGTGTTGCCGATCTTATTGCTAGCATCAAGTTATCCAAAATTCCTATTATCTGCATTTGTAATGATCGCTACAGTCAGAAATTGAAGAGCCTTGTCAATTATTGCTTACCAATTGTCTTCCGAAAACCGACCAAGCAGCAGGTCATTTCCACAGTTATTCTTGTCATCTAACAATTCCTTCTTTGGGTAAGAGCAATAATAGGATGGTATAAGTAAAGAAGGAATTGTTAGATGACATATTCTTCCTGCACTTAGTTATCTTTACTTGATTTGAATTTTAGTGCCGAATTTCTCCAAATGATGCACTACACTAATGATTATATGCTATATACTTATGCTAGTCAGTGTACCTTCCACAGTGTCCTGTTATGGACAAGATCCAAGGTACCCTTAGCTCCAGTAATGTTTCTGGTGTTCCTTGCTGGATCTTCTATGGTAGATATAAGAGGTGAAAATTTTTTGTTGAAATTTTTACAGCTAATAGTGAGAGTATGTTTTGATAGATGGCAAAGAGGTTAAAGCAAGTGGCAAATGCTGAAGGCCTTCAAGTCAATGAGGTTTTATTCTCTTTCAACAACTTGCAGAAGTTCTTACATGTTGAAGAAAATGTATTTAGTAATATTTGGAACTATCCTATCGCATTCAAAAGCCATCATCCCCGATAAAATGTGAAAATTGGTTTCACTTGTCAACATTTGTGGACTGTTGTACTTGGTTTGATATTGGTGGTTTCTTGAAGTGCATGTTGTAAAGTAATCCAGATCTGAAACACCAAGATGAAGTCCTATGAATTTTGTTGTGGAGAAAGTGAGAGTTCAATTTTTCTGATCAAGTAAGGGATGTCCAAAAATATGAATTGTTTTATGCAAGTAAATCCCTAGTTGTTCAATTAAAAAATCTCAATTTGTACTTCTTGTGGAAATAGTGACGTGTATTTGTGTCAATATATATTTATTTGAGTACTTTCCTGCTTAAATTTGTCGGTAGCATGTATAATTTGGTGGTGCACCTACAAAACATACGGAAAACATTTCCTTTGTTGTTGTCTGGGCATCCATCTGCAAACTTTCTGAGATTCATGATTGATTTTCTTCTTCTATTTCTTTTTCTAGATTGCTCTTGAGGAATTGGCAGAACGTGTTGGTGGCGATATGCGTATGGCTCTAAATCAATTGCAATACATGAGTCTCTCCAAGTCTGTGATCCAATACGATGATATAAGACAGCGCCTTCTAAGCAGTTCAAAGGATGAAGACATCTCACCCTTCAAAGCTGTCGAACTGTATGCATGTCTTCGATTCAACCTCTCTTTACCATTTTACCAAATTGATGTGTAATTTTTCCCCACATATGGATTGAACTACGTTGGATTTTCTAGTTGCTTTGTGTCCAAATATATGTGGTAGTGCCGTTGAGCAGCTTAATCAATAATTAGTAATATTTGGGATAAAAGCACCGAAAACTAATCAGCAATATCATTTAATTAGCCACCTTCCTACTTGTTGTCCATAATTCATTACGGGAGATCCATATTTATATATCATCACAAGCCATAGCAGTGTAAATATTTGGTTATTGTACTCTTTTTTCCGTTTTAGCCGTTGATTTATGTATTTCTTTTACAACGTCAATACATAACTCCGTCTCATGGGAAATAAGTTGAAAGAGGTGGACGTCAATTTTCCTTACTCAGCTTTATATGCGAATCTTCATTTTGACAGAGTGGGTGAGAATGGATTATGGGAAGTAAGGAGTGAGGTTTAACAAAGAAGAAAGCAGAGGCATTTTCTTTTCCTTGCTTTCGAGGGTGGGGTGCGGAGGGGATTTAAGAAGATTCAGCATACCAGTATGCTTGAAACTAAGCAGTGATCCTCTGTAACTTATCCTGTGGGAGTATAGAGTTGAGTAGTCAGCTTCTTTGAACACTGTTCTCTGATAGAATTTGTATGTTTGTCACTTGCTTTGGATAGTGCAGTTTGTTACAAATTACACATTCTTGAGCTGTGGACTCCTCTTTTTTTTATTGCTTTTACTTCAAATTCGGCCATAATATAGCTTGCATTGGCCTAATGAATGATCTCACTTTAGTACTTTCATGTGACTACAGCATTCACTGCTATCACATTGAATAATTACTTTCACGCTCAGGTCTTGACTTAAATATGATTTTTTTTACTGACCAGTTATGTTTGTTCCTGTGTTGATAGGTTGTTTGATTTAATTGCCAAGAACTTGAAAATAGATCGAAGAATTGATCTAAGTATGAGTGACCCAGATCTTGTTCCGCTTCTTATACAGGTACTCTAGATCCATAAGGTTACTATTTGTGCTTGAAATTTACTCTCGTCTGAGTTAATTTTCCTTTTATATGTCCCTGCCTATTTTTCTCTATATCACTTTGAGACCTTGTAGAACGGAGAGTATTCATTCAAGTAGAATAATATCAATTGGAACTGATTGCTTTGCTGTTTTCTTTTTTTCTTTTCAGTTTTCATACTCCATCTTTTATTACCTAATTAATTTCTCTTTTGGATTAATTTTCCAAGTTTGGTACCTGATGATCTAACTTATAATGACATGCCCCGAAAAAACGATTATGCAGTAATCTTGTATCTTATTTTAAGCTAGTATATTTAAGCTCTCTTGGTTAGTTGTTCTTATCCTCTAGAAATTCTGCTTTATATGATAGCTTTGGGATATGTATTTACTTAAATGGTCTTGCTTCCATCCATAATTTATGTCTTACATGCTCATTTGTGTTCTTTAGATTGCTATATTTCCACATGTTGAGAACTTCATTGTGTACGAGAGAAGACAGTTGTTTGAGAAGTGCTGAAGGGCTTTGTTCCTGTGTGATGTTTGGGCAGTGTTGCATTAGGATCTATGCTATAAAGCTGACTGTATGCTTCAGATGGTTTATTTTATTTCTTTTCCTTTTTCCTTGTTTTTTTTTGGGCATGTTCATGCTTGTCAGCAGTCTGTGTAATCCTCTTTCTGTTACTTGATATTGTTCTTGGTTGTCGTTTATACCATCTGTGCCATATCAATTGCCTCATTAAACGAGTCATACACAACATAAGGCTAAAAATTGACTTGGTATAGATTTCACGTTGGTATATTAGGATTGAAAAGCTTCTGAGAAAGTATCAGTATAAAAAAAGGGCAGCCCGGTGCACTAAGCTCCCGCTATGCGCGGTGTCTGAGAAAGTATCAGTATGGTTTAAAATATTTTATGAGTAGACCTCCATATTATTTGGTAAAATGATTTCCCCATGTGATGGCAGGAGAACTATCTCAATTACAAGCCAAGTTCTGTTGGCAAAGATGATGATGGTTTAAAGCGGATGAGCCTAATTGCACGTGCTGCTGACTCTATTGCAAATGGTGATTTAATAAATGTACAGATTCGTAGATACCAGCAGTGGCAACTATCTCCAGCTGGTTGCCTTTCGTCTTGCATTATTCCGTAAGACAATTTCTTAGCGTCTCAAGTTCAGTTGCATCTACTTTTTTCTTATAGTGCTGGCTAAATTTCTTGTTTTTTTTCCTACCTCATTGTAGTGCTTCGTTGTTGCATGGACAGAGGCAGACTCTTGAGCAGGTGACTGGTGCTTCTTATTCTCCGTCTATAAGATCTGATGGCTGAGCAATGCATAGCTTTGCTTTCATTTTAAGCACAATATGTTGTGCCTTTCTCTCAAATCTGATGGGTGGATCTAAGTTTGTCTAGAGATCATCATGTTATACTATTAGTTTCCTACATTAGATAATTACAGGTGGTTCAGTATTGGTATTAGATGTCGAAAAGTTGTGAGCTGTTTCCAGAGATGTGGTCTCGGTATATTTTACATCTTATGGTTTCTAATTCTTTGCTTGTTATTTATTAGCTTTCCAGGAATTTTCACTTGAATATATTTTAATTGTCATCCAATCAGGACTTATTTGAGACGGCTGAAATTATAGTGAGGGTTAAATATTGCAGGGAGAACGCAACTTTAATAGGTTTGGTGGCTGGCTAGGAAAGAACTCTACAATGGGAAAGAATTACCGGATTTTGGAGGACTTGCATGTTCACCTACTCGCTTCTCGTGAATCATATTTGGGAAGGTACTTTCTATTTTGACATATTTGACATATTAGTTTTCTTCTCATTTTTCATCTAACCTGATACATGTTCATTTCATTGATCTGTATCTTGTAATCTTACATTAATTTTCATAGACCGAGTGTCTTCATTAATCCACTCAATTAGAGCATGTGTTTCTTTTATTGTTATGTATTCAGTATTTTCTTATTTTCTCCAGCTTATGATTCGTTTCTAATTCTTTGGTATTTCTCAGAATACAAATAATAAGATCTGGTATACAGCGCATGTCCTGATTTCAGACGATTGTTCTAGATTCAGAACTTGTTAAAATTCTTTTTCAATACCTGCATAAGTATAGATGAAGTCAACTGTGTACATAATCTTCTAAAGCCACTGGTGTTTCCATGATGCAATGTCTTGTCCTATTCCCCCTTTTCTGCCTGTGCCTCCTTCCGTGGTTAGTGTTAATCAATTGTTTAAGAGTTAATAGTTGACAAAGAAACTATTGATGTGTTACCTATTGCAGGGTTCCCCTGTTTTGTGTACACTTTTTCTTACAAAATTTGGAAGTCAGTCAAAGTTTCAACTACTTCCTGCACAATGCCTGTAAAACAGTCTTTATGCATTCGTGGTAGTTGTGTAATATATTTTCTCATACATTTCAGGGCAAACCTGAGACTTGACTACTTTACTCTTCTTACAAAGAAGTTGACAGATCCATTAAAACTGCTACCTAAGGTGATTATTCATCCTTAACCCGAATTTCGTTGTGTATATCTGTTTGCATGGTTATATATGAATGTTATTGCCAGGATGAAGCTGTCGAGAACGTTGTGGATTTCATGGATTCGTACTCTATAAGCCAGGATGACTTCGATAATATTGTGGAGATATCAAAATTCAAGGTATACCATTGTTTTAATCTCTTCTCCTAATTCCTCTGATGCACTTTTAGAATCTGTTCATGTGTTGACTTCACTGCATTTGCATCAGGGACATCCGAATCCACTGGATGGTATTCAGCCTGTTGTGAAAGCTGCACTGACAAGGGCATACAACAAAGGAAGCAAATCACGTGTTATTCGCACAGCAGATTTAATGTCCCTTCCTGGAATTAAAAAAGCTCCCAAGAAGCGGGTTGCAGCGATGCTGGAGCCACTAGATGAAGGCTTAGCTGAAGAAAATGGTGAAGCAATTGCTGAAGATGAAGAGAACTCATCAGAGCCAGAGGATATAGGTACATCCCTACTCAGATTACCCCATTAAAAGGGAGCATGATACTGTGTCATTCAATAATCTTACCAGAACAGTTAACTGGAAAATCTTAAAGATAGATAATCCATTGATATGAGCTCCATAGTTAAGAAGTGTTGTTCTACACTTGGTTGCAATAGCAAAAAGAAATCATGCACATTATAGTTTGTGTTTCCTTTGTGCCTCTGCAGTAAGCGTTTTCTATTTGCTCTTATTTCAATGTTAGTACTTTTCATTAGGGATAAGTGATGACATTTCTCTAATATAGAACGATGGTGTAATTCTTTTACAATAATTTGGAGCAGTATTTGATGATGTTATTGCTTGTTTCGGTCAACTCTGCAGATGTTGAGAAAAAGTTGGAGTCAGATCTTCAAAGTCTCAGTTCGAAGGGTGAGTGACACTCAAGAACAATTGCATTTTCTTCTTCATTTATCTGCATGTATTTAGTGTCTGACCATCTTCTACCTACCTGTTAACATTCTTTCCCGTCTTTCCCTTTATCTGCTTTTGTTTTACAACAGGAATCCAAGTAAATGTAGATCTGAAGGGTGCCGGTGGAAAGAAGCCGTCTGCTGGAAGAGGAAGAGGAAGTTCTAGTAGCAGGGAGAAAGGAGGCGCTGAATCCTCGGGCAAGAGAGGTGGCCGGGGTTCTGGAGCTACCAAGAGAAAGAGGTGAAACCCGAAAACATCTTCCTGACCTAATGTATGTTACAACCATCGGAAGCTGCAGCTTTCCGGATCTAGCTCTAGCTTTTAGGAAACTTTGTTTAGCTATTTGTGTAAAAGAAAAAGGGGGTCTTAAGTTGATCTGTGTACATTCTACTTGAAGCTGATGAGTAACTATTTTCTGTCTATAGTTTTGGTTTGTATTCAAATTTTGGATTCTCGTGTCAGTGCCGCGTTAATTCTATTCCACTATCCTATGACACTTTGTTTACTGCAAAGTTACAACTTAGTAATTCTGCTGGGAATACCAACTTCATATCCCCCGTATTGTTTGGGCAGCTGACTGCATGTTTTAATGCTTAACCCTGAATCCAAGGGACCTAAAACGTCACTTGAAAAAGGGCAGCCCGGTGCACTAAGCTCCCGCTATGCGCGGGGTCCGAGGAAGTGCCGGACCACAAGGGTCTATTGTATATAGCCTTATCCTGTATTTTTGCAAGAGGCTGTTTCCACGGCTTGAATTCCTGACTTTTTGGTCACATGGCAAAAACGTCACTTGAAAGGCTTGATTAAATAGGTGCCGATATACATGTGAAAACAGCTAATATGGAGTTTGGATTTATAAAAAACTAGAAAGCAGTTAGCTTTTTCTTTACGATGATTCCAAATTAATTTCGACGAATATTCTTAATACCTGAAGCTGTTAAACTCTCGATAGCTATTTTTGCTTGGCTATGGTGTTTAGTATGTTATATTCACATGATAAAAATTTACACTAGGTATTTACATTAACCTAAGCAGTTACAGAGTCGGGAATTATACAAGAGGATTTAAAAAAATAAAAGAATGTCACATATGATATTTGATATTGTAATCTAAAGCAATTCATGAATTCATTTGCCACTTTGCTAGACTTTTTCCATGTATCAAAGGAATTCAACTACTTACATATAATAAATGAATCGTTGTGCTATTTGTACAATATAAATTTTCGATGAAGGAGATTAAATTGGATGCCCTTCCCTCCACTTAGCTCCGCTATTGAACCGAAGTAACATATGACTGTAATACCTCAGACTTTAGACAGAGTTCCACATAGACAAAACACAAGAGGGATGCTATGTATGTAAGTTAACAAGCCTTAGACCCTAGTGACGCATTTTATACCCGTGAGGACCTAGGCCCAGAGCGAAACATATCACTAGCGGACTAGGCTGTTACAATGACACTTATCTACACATATACTCTTACAACTAACCATAGAAATTAATACACATTTCTCCTTAGTTGTAACTAAATTATGATAGATTATAATGATTTAGAGTAAACACCGAGTGCGGATATGCAAACTTTAGACTTCAAGGGGTCGTTTGGTTGGAATAAGATTTATACCGGTATAAGTTATATTGGGATAAGTCATGCTGGGATTAGTTATGCTGGGATTGTTGTTTATTCATTGTTTGGTATGTTGTATTAAGAATGACAGTTGCATAATTTCTAAGAAGAAGGTATAAGTTATACCGGTGCTAATTACCCCACCTTCTATAAGGTATAAGTTATCCCAGTGTTAAAATTAACACGGGGATAACTTATACCTGATTTGCTAATCAAACAGAGTATTAAGGTGGTATTAAATTTTTATACCACCCTTATACCTTCTTATACCTCATATCAAACGACCCCGATCCAATGACCATTTCTATATTAGGCTAACTCACACAAGTCTATCAAGAGAAGATGAAAATATTCAAAACTAGAGAAAAACTGTAATAAGAAAAAAAATGGTTACCCCCATGAGAAATTCATTAAGTCCATTTTAATTAGATGTGCTTTTTTGGATGAAAAACTAGTTGAAGATACTATGGAGAGACAACAGATAAATTATTTTATAATATTGTAAAGAATGCGGTAAAAACAATTTAAAAATTGTATATACAACATTAAGGGGCAAATAAGTAATCATAGGACAAAGTGTATCTCAAAAAATGATGCAGATATTAGTTAGTAATCATAAAAGCATAGAGTTTGAATCAGAAAATGATACACCCAAAGTGTATAATGTGATGAGCTCAAAAGTGAAAGATAAACAAGTGATTTCTTCCATTTTGTAAACTTATTTGCACCTATGCTTTTTTTTTTTCTCTCCAAATTTTTGTGAGTTGAAATTCTATGAAAAATTTATAGAATTAGGTTATTTAAACAATTACTACTAATTTCATGGGTTCGAGCCGTAGAGGTAATAAAATGTCTATATCAATATCCCTTGAGATGCGGGCCTTCTCTGAACCCTGCTTGCACTGGACTGCCTTTTTAGTATTAATTGATAATTTTAAATAAATAATAAGTAAGCTATTAAATTATATTGGGGTAAAAGATCTATTACTCCCTCTGTTTCAATTTAAATGACAACTTTCCTTATTAGTCAGTTCCAAAAAAATGACAAATTCTATAATTGAAAATAATTCAACAACTCTTTATTTACCATTTTACCCTTAATGAGAAGCTTTTATAACAACACAAATGACGTAGCCTCACATAGCTTTTACCCCTAAGCTTCTAAGACCACACGTTTTAAAAGTCTTTTTATTTTAAACTTAGTGCCGAGTCAAACTAACTTATATAAATTAAAACTGAGGAATATAGTGTATACTATAACTTAAATCCAATTTATATTCCCTATCTATAATTCTCCCACTTATAGAAAATTTCTTTTAAATAATCCATATATATTAAAAAAAAAAAAAACAAAACCCCTTCTAAAACCTTCTCTCCCCACACAACCAAGTACCAACTCATCTTATCTCCTCAAACTCTTCAACCATTTCCATGGCTTCTTTCAAAATCTCACTCCCTTCTTCTCATTTCTCATTCTTGAACTCAAATCCCAAATTCACATTCCCAAAAATTAAATCTTTTCCACTTTACTCAAACCCCTTTTGCATTAAATGTTCAAAGAGGATAAAAAGAAGAGGAAAATTGAGGTACCCATCAGAGAAAAAGAAGCTGAAACAGCAACAAGAAGAAGCTCAAGTTGATGTTAAAAACAAATTTGAAGGGATTTGGAGGCTATCTAAGCTCAATGTTTCAGTTCATAAAGACCCTGGAAAAGATTTTTTGGATCTTTCTGATGCTTTGCTACAAGAAATTGCTAAAGTTCTTGAATTTCCGGTAAAAAAAACGTTAACTTTATAGTTATATTTTTGAGCGTTGTGTTAAGGGAAAGTAGTAGAAATTACAAAATGAAAATTGGGTTTTTAATTTGTGTTCATTTGACCAATCTGTTTAGTATGTTTTTGAGTGTTGTGGTAAGGGAAAGTAGTAAAAATTGCAGAGCAAGAATTGGTTTTTGAGCTTCTGTTCGATTAGTCTCAACTTAAAATAGTACTCCCTCCGTTGCAATTTATGTGACATTATTTCCTTTTTAGTCGGTCCTAAAAAAAACACATTTCTATATATAGTACTCCCTCTGTTCCAATTTATGTGAACCTGTTTGACTGAGCACAGAGTTTAAAAAAAAATGAAGACTTTTGGAATTTGTGGTCTTAAACAACTCAAAAAGGGGTCCACACTAGTTGTGTGGTTATAAAAGCTTCTTACTAAGGGTAGAATTGAGAATTTAAGCTAAATTGTTTCCAAATTTAGAAAAGGTTCATTATTTTTGGAACGGACCAAAAAGGAAATAGGTTCACATAAACTGGAACGACAAATAATTATAGCTTATTTTAGACACAAGTTTCAAAAGTTTCATTTCTTTCTTACACTCCGTACTTAGTTAAATAGGATACACATAAGATCAACTATTTTGCTTGAAAAAGTGGGATCATAAGTGAAAATAATGTTTGCTTTATAAAGAATGTGGACTTTTCCAGAGTATAATTTTAGTATTACAAGTTTATTGGAAGTGTAAATAATAGGCTACCTTATAGAAAGTGAACATTGTAAGAGATTTTAAATTTAGAGGCGGAGCTAGGATTTTAAGTTTATGGGTTCTTGATTATAGAAAAGGCGGCTTAGTGGGTTATGTGATAAATTTTTATACATATTAAGTGGATTTTTAAAAACTAAATACAAGGTTTGAGCCAAAGCTAACTGGTTCTGTCGAACCCGTACACAGTACACTAGCTCTGCCCCTGATTTAATGTTCGTAGATTGTAAACATTCACCAGTCTGATACAAAACTCCGTTATATGAGTTATAGGATCATTTAGCATCATGATGTTCACAATGTACATAATATGAATTAGTTATTTAGAAGAGCATACTTGATCCATGATGATTCTGCCGACGTTCAATATCATTGCCTTTCTACTTGCAAAATCTGTGTAAGCCAAAAATAGAGATGAGTCTAGTTCAAAAGCCATGGGGCACAACTACAAATACAATGTTGCGCAATTCAAAAAGAGAAGGAACACTATTAATTTGAGCTGGACAGAGTAATATGCATTTTTTATATGCAAGCTTAGGTATTTTCGGTATGTTCTCCTTTGCATTTTATTTGAAAATGTGCTCTTCTTTTCTGTTTTGTAGGTTGCTTCAATGTTGCCACAGGAGGCATTTAAAGTTGTTAGAAAATCTTTTGATGCTCGGAAGGTTTGTTTCCCTAGCAATTCTTTTGAAACATTCCCTCCTTGTCAGGGTTGTGTAGCTTGTTTTTTCCTTCTGTATCAAGTAATCTGCACGACAATTTTCTAATATTAGATGTTCAACCATCTTAAGTTCCAATATAACCACCATTTGGTGCTTTGGGATAACTTATTACCTTTACATTCGTTCTAAAGTTTAAGACGAAGACCATACTTAAGTGACATATCTAGACTATGAATATGTAAGAGCCAAAAGTATTAGGGTCATCCTGTTCCTTGTAAAAATGTTCATAATCAGGAATGTGATTTCGTGCGGTTGAAAATCCGAAGAATTCATGATCACATTGACCAGAAAAAAGGTTATCCAAATGTCCAACCATCTATCCGTTCATTTATTTATAGCAGTTCATGCTTGTGATTGGGAAAAGAAAACATATCCAAACCTAAAGCTACTTGTATTGAGAAACATGCATGTATCTACTTTGATTTCTGAATACTTTATCCTACCGATTTGATACTTAATTTGCAATTGAGCTTACTATGATATGTGTTCTTGAAGATAGTTTAGGGGCTATAATGTTGCCATTCAACTTTAACTTGTAATAGCTACAGTTGAACACCATGGGTGTATCATGTATGTATTTGACTGCTTCGTTAACCTTATTGCAGTTGCAAAAGGAACCAAAGTTTGTGTATTCAGTGGATATGGATGTCCAAAAACTAATAGATTTAGAGCCTCGTACTTGGGAATTCATCTCTGAATTGGAACCCAAGGTTGGCCTAATTGAACATTTGCCTCATGACAGAACTTCCGGGGATATAATGAGCATAGTACACGATTGCCGAAAGTTGGATGAGAATGCAAGTACTTCAGAAAGCGGAGATATGAATCTCTGTAACGGATCACATACATATCCAAATTATAGAAAACCAAAAGTTGCCGTTGTTGGTAGTGGGCCTGCGGGGTTGTTTGCTTCACTTGTGCTTGCTGAATTTGGAGCAGATGTTACAGTGATGGAAAGGGGACAAGCCGTTGAGAAAAGGGGCCGTGATATTGGTGCTCTGATTGTTCGACGGATATTGCAGGAGGAGAGCAACTTTTGCTTTGGGGAGGTTATATCCCGATTCACTTATTTCCTTCAAAGGTTTTTCCAGATTCTTGAGATTAATTTCTGCAATCTACCTCTGTACATTTTGTTCAACTATCTGCATGGCATTTTACCGGCCATATATAAAAAAAATTACAATTCAAAATTGTTTATTCGTTTACTGGAATACTCAAATAGATAAGTATTAAATCTTAAAAGGGAGAATCAACTCGCTACTTGCACTGCAAGATTCGGAAAGAGATGTTTTAGTGCTAGAATTAAGTAACTGTTTTCAGTGATTTAGATCTGTATGCCGTTTCATCATCTTACTGGTTTTCGATTTCTGGTTTATGAGGTCAAATCGCTCATATGATGTTACAGTCATTGGGTCTCTTTAGCTACTTATTTACAAAGGACTTATGTGTTACAGGGTGGTGCAGGTACTTGGAGCGATGGTAAGCTAGTTACTAGAATTGGAAGAAATAGCGGTAGTGTTTTAGCAGTAAGTTGCTTAATCCTGGAAAGTTATACTCTGATTTTTACCTATGCATTCTTTCATACGCGTTCGTTGGGTCAGTTATCCTTGTCATTTTACCCTTGTCTTGTATTTTAGGTTTTGGAAACATTGGTCCACTTTGGAGCTCCGAAGAAAATTTTGGTTGATGGAAAACCTCATCTAGGAACTGATAAATTGGTACCACTGCTTCAAAACTTCCGGCGGTACCTGGAAGAGTTGGGTGTAAGTAATTGCAACTTATCCTAGAAAAGAAATATGAGACTTTTTTATGCTTTTGGACACAAAAAATGTGATTTTCAAAAAAAGCAGTTTTTGGAGTTAAGTTGAAAAAATGTATTTGAAATTTAAAGTTGTATTTGGACATGCATTTTACTTGAAAACATATTACATTTTTGTGAAGGGAAATGAAATTTTACAGAAAAAGTGGTAAAACCCACTTTTTGAAACTTGGAAACAACAACAACAACAAATCCAGTGTAATCCCACAAGTGGGGTCTGGGGGAGGGTAGTGTGTACGCAGGCCTTACCCCTACCTTGTGAAGGTAGAAAGGCTGTTTCCTTATAGACCCTCGGCTTAAGAAACACTAAACAGGAAGCAACCAAGCAAAGTTTTGAAACTTGGAAACTCATCCTAAAATAAAAATTAAAAAATTCAGTCAAATGTATAACCAAACAAGTTTTGGAAAACAATTTCAAAAAAGAAAAGGAAAATTATTATATGGAGGGTCTTAAGAAATTTTGTTTTCTTGCTTGTATGGTCAGGTCAACATCATGTTTGGAACAAGGGTAGATGATTTACTTGTCAAAGATGAACATGTGGTGGGAGTCAAAGTTTCTGATTCAAGCGATAACAGCTCACACTCCACGAGCCAGAATTTGAGTTATGATGCAGTGGTTCTTGCAGTTGGACATTCTGCACGTGATACATATCAGATGCTTCTTTCACATGGGGTCAACCTGGTCGAAAAAGATTTTGCTGTAAGCTGCTGTCCATGTGAATTATTTATGCTAGTTTATATCTTCTTTTTCCTTCCATTAATAGAAGTGTTTGGATCTACATGTACATATGCTTTATAGCTTTACGGCTTGGGTTGCTGCTGTGTGTTTTATGATGCTCGGACTCTCCAAAAATGCCAACGGGAGCGTGTCAGATCCTCCAAAAGTAGTGTATTTTTGGAGGATCCGACATGGGTGTGGCGGCATTTTGGAGAGTCTACGCAACATAGTGGGTCTTATCTAATTACAAGGCATTAAACCTCTTTTCCGGCCAAAGACAAAAGAATAGGGAGGGGGGAGCATTTACTAAGTGGTGCTCTGGTGGGCTTACCATGGCACGGTTAATTTCTCACATTTTTAGTTACAGCAAAAAGAAAAAGAATTTTTTTATTTGTGGTAGGAAGTAGGGATATTATCCAGATGTGGGTATTAACATTAAACTTCATTCAAATACATCAACATCTTGGTCCGATTTGATTTATATAAATTTAGTCCTTAGAGGTTGAATAAATCAGTAGCATTTTATATAAATATTTGATCATATTAGGGCCTCCTGCACTAAGATTTGAATGTGCACACCGAATGAACTCCCATATGGCATAAATTTAGTCCTTAGAGATTGAATAACAGACGTCTGTGTTACTTGGTCAGTCCAAATGGATTGACTTCACTAATAATGGAGTTTATTCTAAAATGCGGTTAGCAGAAGGACATGTCTGATATGTATACATCTATAACTTGATATCTAAACCCTCACTTTTCCTTTATTTTTGAGTCTTACAATAGGTTGAAAATCCACTAAGAAATCAAAATTTCGCAGACTGCTTTGTTTTCTTGTATACAGTAGAGTGCTGCATGCTAGGGATGTAATCCTGTCTCTGTGTTGGGTGCAAGTTGTCTCTTCTTTTCTCTCCTTGATGACTTTTTCTTATTTTTGGTTCATTAGTATTGACTCTCGTGGTATTGATTTTTGCTATAACCTTGTTGGTATCCCATCATTGTCAAAGATACTTGCATTCTCCTAATAACTTGTATAATTACAGGTTGGTCTGCGGGTTGAGCATCCTCAAGAATTAATTAACAGCATACAGGTTTGTCACTAAGTAGTAAATACAATCAAGTCGTTGATTTACTAGTTATACAGTGTATTTTTAGATTTTCCTGCCGTATCATGATGAGGAGGTGTTGATTTATCAGATTTTCTTTAACAACACTAGAAATGTTTGGCTTTGACTGTCCCTTGTATCAATGTCGAGTAAAGAAACTCCTCTTTCTTAAATGATGCTACAGTAGTTATCCAGTGGGTAATAGCTTATTTTCTATTATGGAATTTACATACTAAGGGTAATTCAAGAGTTTTCCATGGTGTACTTGCGACCTTGAAGTTCCTCTTTTAGATGAAATCAACATATGTGTGTTGACCGTCTTAGTTGAAAATAAAGTTTAAATTTAATATTTCCCTCTAGTATTTCTTTGTTGTTCTTCAACTTCCAATGCTTATTCATTGTCTGTGAGCAAGTACATTTGTTGTATTTTCCCCTCTTAGGTGAAGTATATCTTCGCAAATTTATCATGAAAATAATTTGCTTTTGGTCCAAAAATGTTCAGTATTCTGGATTAGCCAACGAAGTTTTAAGTGGACGTGGGAAAGTGCCTGTCGCTGATTACAAGGTCGTTGAATATGTGAATGCAGAAGATATTGCTTTGCCTTCAAATTCTGGACCAATAAATCGCAGTTGTTACTCCTTTTGCATGTGTCCTGGTGGCCAGGTACAAACAACTGCTCTTGTTCATAATCGCTGAATGAAATATTATGATTGATCTGACATTTGTTTATGCTTTTCCAACTTTCTGATTAGCAATTATATTGAATTCCCTTTCATGCACCATATCCATGGTTCGCAACTTTTTGTTCATTTTGCGCGTAATAGTCATTGTAGATGACTGATGACAACAGCTAGAAACGTTTACACACGTAGATTAAGTTGGTGATATCTGAAAGAAATGCATTTTTCAATTGACTTCAATGTCCATTTCGATATAATTTACTGGACAAGATTTTGGCAGGTAGTTCTAACTAGTACAGATCCATCAGAGCTCTGTATAAATGGCATGTCCTTTTCTCGTCGGTCGTCTAAATGGGCAAATGCTGCACTTGTTGTTACAGTCTCATCAAAGGATTTTTCTGCTTTGGACTTGAATGGACCTCTAGCTGGTGTTGAATTTCAGGTACTTCTTAAGTGTCCATACTAGTCGCTTAGACATAAACCTGTTATGCAGGAACTATCTTGGGTTCCCGGATGTTCACATTGAATTCTGTGATATAATATGAAGCAGATATTACCGACATGTTTGGTAGTAATAATTAATAAAAGAATATCTGTGTCTCGAAGGAGAAGCTATTGAGCTGATTACATAATTACCTCGTTTGCTTTGATTTCTTCGGCATGCACTTGTTAGGATGAGAATGGAAGGTTTTTGTATTGCATGTGAAAGTGAGTTCGAAAGCAGGTTCCAGTGTATCTGTTATGTTGAAAAAGAAATGAAATCAACTTTTTTTTTTGTCCGGAAAAACAGGCATTATCTTGATATATCGGAAAATAGAAACCATAACATTATTTGATAAAAGAAGTACGCCATAAACTAAAGTTTTCGTCTTTGAGAACTTAGTTCAATCGGTGGATTGTCACCTTTGGTTGGACATTGGTTTTCTATATTCTTTCCTTGCAAAGTAACTGTTTTATTACCCCTAAGCCACTAGTCTAATGGAGTTACCTTTTGCTTTTGCCATTTAAAATGCTACTCATGTATTTTGATTTCGGTTGTATAATTGCAGAGAATGTTTGAACGCAAAGCGGCTGCAATGGGTGGAGGCAATTTCGTGGTACCTGTTCAAACGGTGACCGATTTTCTTGACAGCAAATTGTCAGGTATACCTCTTTGTTGGATTCGGCACAATTGGGGGTTAGATATTTGGAATAAGATACTTATGTGGCTTAAAATTTGTTTTACAGTGACATCATTGCCGTCTTCCAGTTATAGATTAGGAGTAAGAGCAGCAAATCTCCACGAATTATTCCCTAGTCACATAACCAGTTCTCTGCAACATTCACTTTTAAAGTTTGACAAAGACGTAAGTTTTTCCTGTCTTGAGCAATTGATATCTCGTATATATAATGTCTGTCTCTGAAAATTAACACCATATCTGTTGATCCTGGAACTACAGTTGCCGGGATTTATTTCCAGTAATGCTCTTCTTCATGGAGTAGAGGTAATGCACGCCTTTCTTCGTGAAATCATAAAGCATCGAATTCAATTTTACATACGGATTTTTGGACTAAGTATTCGAGTTAATAACATCCACATTTTCTTGGTTCTGGAACCAAAGTTGTAACACAGTTTCGTCCTCATTACAGACAAGAACTAGTTCACCTGTCCAGATTTCTCGAAGCGCTGATACTTACGAGTGCACATCCCTAAGAGGACTTTACCCTATCGGAGAAGGAGCGGGTTATGCTGGTGGGATAGTAAGTGCAGCAGTTGATGGCATGTACAGCGGATTTGCATTAGCGAAAAGTTTAGGTCTTTTTCATGGCAGCATCGAGTCGGTTATAGGGAAGGCTCAGAATGCTGGAGTTGCAAAATACTGACACCATTATTTTGTTTTCACCAATTTCACACACACTGTAAATCACAAGGTGCTTACCGCGATCTTGCAAGTTGCGGCACTTCATTTTTTAGTCCATATGTAAAAGGCCAGTTCTTCGGAAACAACCTCTCTATTTTTACAAGGTAGGGGTCAAGTCTGTGTACACTCCCCCTCACACCCCACTATATGGGATTACACTGGGTTCTTCGTTGTCGTCGTTGAGTTCTCGCTATAGTTCCTCGTCTCCTTGGGCATTTGTACTAAATTGATAATTGCTGGTAGCAACCTAGACAGTAGACAGGTGATAGTTTTAGATGATTCTGCTCTAGTGGAGATAAAAGTAAAATAAATGCATGCTCTCTTTTGAAATGTATTGATATTGTTGTTATTTTGTGCAATTAGTGAACACCATAATATTCTGAATAGGACCACCAATGTACAACCTCTGTTTCAACAATAATTCTACCTCTTGTTGATTCATTTCAAAATTTGTGTTAATTTTACTTGATATTTAACTTTATAAGTATAATCATTAGCTACATCCCTTGGCATATATTTATTTTATATAAAATATACATGAAAACAAGAACTGTGATACTCCTTAGGCTCGTTTGGTACGAGGGATAAGGGATAATTGATATCGAGATTAAATTTGATATGAGTTTATCCATGTTTAGTTGGGCTAAAATCGCGGTATAGCTGATCTCGGAATTATAGCGTTATTTTTATTCCTATGGGAGGATGTGATAACAATCCCGAAATAATTAATCCTGAAATAACTAATCCCGTGATAACTTGTTTCCAAACCAAACGACCCTATAGGAATCAAACAAAGTTCATCAATTAGAATATAGTAATATCATCTCTAATAGGCCAATATAAACATCATAATTAAGCGCCAAAATTTCACGGTATAGCCAGTTTTTGGACTGGTCAATCAAAAATAGCCAGCGTTTACTAAGTCAATGAAAAATAGCCACCGTTTTGCTGCAATAGAGATCGGTCCTGCATAATATACTGGAGTTCGGTGCACTTGTGTATGAACTCCAGCATATTATGCTGGACCGGTATACTTTGCTGGCTCCAGTATAATATACCGGAGACTGGAGCACTGGTGCTCCAAACTCCAGTATATTATACTGGACCATTATACTTGCTGGAACTCCAGTATATTATGCTGGAGTTCTAGTGCATTTATGCTGGAACTCCATCATATTATGTTGGAGTTCCAGCATACTATCCTGGAACTCCAGTATAATATGCTGGAGTTCAAGTATACTTATGCTGGAACTCCAGCATAATATACTGGAGTATTTTCCGGGTTTTGAACAGTGTTTTCGCTCAGATTTATCTTTACATAAAAAGTGGCTAAATTTCGATTACTTTTGAAATTGGGCTATTTTTGAACGACCAGTTGTAAATCTGACTATTTTTAAAAATCACCCAAATTAAGCCACATGCATAAAACATCAAATCTATGTTTGGTTGGAATTTTCTTGACCATAATAAGTTATAGTGCAGATCACTTTTCACTTTCTCGTGAGTCCAGACCTTGTCCTTGGTTCTATCAGCTATGGAGTCTTCTTCTGGTTCTTCCCGTCTCTAGTACAGATCAAATCACAGGATCTCTGTATGTATGCGCTGAGGAGCTATATCTCCCGGACGAAAGACTTCTAAACCCTGATTTCCGGAATGGCAGCAATCGACTTATTTCTGTCTTACAACTTTCTTGGAGTACTGCTCTCTTTTCAAGCGAATCTCTATTTCAACTGCATTCCCTATTGCAAAGAAATCAACCTCGGTTCTTTCTGTTGATAGGTTAGTTTGATGTAAGGTGTGAGCCTCTTCAGTTGCAGTGAAAGTTCCCGACTCTCTAGAAACAATATATACAACAAAATGTAAACTAAAGATTTAAAAAATAAGCAAAGTTGGTCAAAGTGGTAAATAGGGGTGGGCACCGGTCGGTTCGGTTCGGTTATGAATATTATCGATTTAGCATATCGGTTATCGGTTTACAAATTTGATAAACCGATAACAGAACCGATAAGATATCGGTTATCCGGTATCGGTTAATCGGTAATCGATCATTATCTGTTCGGTTATCGGTTTACCCGATAAGATAACTCAATCTAGAGTTAAGCAAAAAAGAAAGACAATTCACTGGAGTTAAGCCAAAAAGAGAATAATTCACATATAGTATACTAAAGACTTGCGCTAGGAGTAACTAGTAAGGTCTACGAAGAATGAAGATGAAGCAATTGAAGAGTGGGGTTGAGAAAGAATAGGAGAGAATGAAATGAAGCCCTAGCATCTGTATATACTTAAGGGTAAAGTCATAATTTTATTAATTCTTATTGGGTTATCGGTTAACCCATTAACAAAATTGGCAAACCGATGCCCAAACCGATAACCCAATAGTAAAAAAGTTCTAAACCGTTACCGAACCGTTAACCCAATAACCCAATACCGTTAACCCAATAAATAATTAACGGTTCGGGTTATCGGTTTTACCCGATATATGCCCAGCCCTAGTGGTAAAGTACTAAAACCGAAAAAGCAACCCCTAATACAAAGTTGGCACATGAGTGCCAATTATTTGGGCTCATATTTTAGTCTAACTAACACTTGGCTAAGTACAAAATCTTTAATATTGGTTCTTTCTCAGTATCGTTTCAATTTTATCGAAAATCCATCTCAGGACATTAGAAAAAATTCGAACGAAATTCTGGATATTATTCTAAACTTCTTTTTTATGAAAAGTTGTGTCCACACTTTCGTTTATGCATAGTGCGAAAATGCAGAGTACATTATGTCTAGTAAATTTCCACCATATCTCTAAACTTATAAGTTTGATTCTACGTGTCACGGGGCGGGCGAAGTTAGGTGGGCGAAAGGGGGTTCCTACGTGTCCCGGGACGAAGTTAGGTTGCGAAAGGGAGTTCAGCTGAACCTCTTTCGTTCCGAAATTGTATCGTGTATATAATGTTAGATTTTTTCACATACATATATTAGATGTTGTTTCCTTAGCTTTTTCGCAGATTTTTTTTTTAATCCCTTTAATAAAAATTCTGGATTTCTGGTATTTCTTTTCAATATTTTATTTTTATGTTGGACAATTTTATTTTTTCAGCAAAATATGCATTTAATATATTTATAATATATTATATTGTAATTTTTTTATATAATTTTAATATTCCTTCAATAAAATAAATCATTATTAACTGAAATTATACCGTGGATATAATGTAAATATTTCATCAAAATATTTCACCATTACTTTTCAGGTTCCATCAATATATATTTGTATAAAAGAATATAACGTAAACTATACTGTGAATAATTATGTAAATATTATATTAATTTAATTCACCTAAAAACAAAATTAAAAGAAAGATAAAAGGCCAGAAAACAGGAGAGTTAGTGTGTTAGTGACTTGACTCCTAGAATCTTGAATGAATATGTATAATTTTTGTAAAGTGACGAAGGGAAGGAAAATAAGAGAGTCTAAATAGAAGAAAAGAAAGATGAATGTTAAAAGGAAAATCCCTACAAATAAATAAAAATAACTAGAATGGAGGAGGATTTACGGATAAATAATAAATTAGTTCCTACAAATAAGCAAAAAATGTTACGGTTCACTTAAGGAATGACATTAATTAGGTGTCATTTTTGTTAATTACTTACTACTGCCATGATTATGTTAAATATTTTTAAATACTGTCTACTTATGTTTTTTGCTCTGTTGTTTATAATTATGGTTTTGTCGAATTTTCTTCCATTCTTTAAGTGCTTTTAGATAAATTTTCAATCTTAAGCTAATGAAATTATCAAAGGATTAGATATGAAAAAACATTTCAGAACTTCGAATGTCTTTTGAGACATCTTTTTAAATTTTCGCTTTAGGTCACACGTAATGTCGAGCCGCCTCTGATCTCAAAGTTGACACAACCGAATTGATTGAGTAAAAGGAAACTCCAGCGAACAAAAAGGAAACGGGAAAATCTATTACTTTCTGAATGATGACAGATAGGAATGAAATTGCTCTTGCCTCAACATTATTGGTTCTATTTCATTGCTCTTTGACCATAAAGTAAAACCATCTTTTTCTTCTTTCTTTTTGCACAATTTTGGGAAAAGTACAATTAATTATACTTTGCAAGTATATGCAATCATAAAAATGGGTAAAATGTTAGTTGTAGCCATGGACAATCATTATAGTTTTGGACCAATTGTTTTCAAAAGAGTCTTTTAAACTAAAGTTTTCTTACTTTTTTTATTTATTTATTTATCCATATGATATTCGGAAGTTGTTGGTCGGATTAATCAAGATTCGTGTCTCAAAAGATATATTTAGGTCGGATTAATCAAGATTCGTGTCTCAAGAACAAATAAATTGGCAATTATTAAGGTCAATTGGCAAATGGTTTAAACATATATATATATATATATATATATATATATATATATATATATATATATATATNATATATATATTGTTCTTTTGCTATATGTTCGTTGTACATTAATTATATCAAGCATGGGCCTTATGTCTTTGGCACTACTAGAAAATCCCATTTTGGATGGGACAATAAACTTGATAATAATAGAAAATTAATATAAAAATTGTGGTTGAACTTTATTTTTGGTTTTTGATTTGTTCATTTGCTGAAAAGATTAGGAGTCTACATATAAGGTGTATGAATTTATTAATAGTGTGTGGTCTTTTTGGATAAACCGTATGGCCTTGCCAAAAGCGGACAATATCGCACCGTGTTAATAATACTATTAGGTTGTTTTTGTCCAAACAACTGGTATCAGAGTCCAAGTTCTGCGGACGAGTATAACAATAACAGAGTGATGGTGCGGGACTTGATTTGCTTGCCCTTATGAGCTTGGAGACGTACATACAAAAAGAAACTAGTTACGGCTTAAGAGTATCTTTGGAACATTTTAGGCGAACATTTTTCAGGTTTGAATATTTAAACTTTAAAAAAAATATCTGTAATCTTGGAAATTTCACGAGACACAACTGAAGCCAACAACATAGAACTGTACAGTGATTCATTTTCAGTAAGTTACTATTTTGGGAAAGTGTGACGACTAAAAAGGGAACAAAGCAGTAATGATTGTAACCTTAAAACAAGACAAAGCTTTAACTCTAACTCCACCTCTTTTTCTTCTTTTCCTGTGCGGTCAACAAAGCAAAAAAATTGTTTTGAAGTTAAATTACACATTAATATTTATTTAAATATTTTAAGAAATTATAAAATATCCAAAGGTTGCACTTCTCTTTCTCTGTCACAATTTATGTAAATGATATTTTTGATGTTCTTTTGGTTAAATGTTTTCTTTTGCAAGACAATATCGGTACTGTATACCCAAATAGTCGGTCATATTTATTATTTACTTTATCTAGTCATGTATATAGATTATACATTTATTATAC